TTTGGAGAGGGCTCTCAAGGCTTTGCCTACCAAAGAACGTAAGTGCTCTCTTCCCCATCCTTAATGTAGACCCTGTGTTGACAGGTCTCCAGCAGATGGACTGCCCTCTGATACCTCTGCCTGTGACAATGTTTGTAATAAGTGAAAAGTGCAACCAGTTGTGTTGAACGTGTTGCCCTTGACGCTCAGGGGAGGGGAAATTTTAACCTGGATATCAATGCTAAATCCTCCTGTAACAGAATTTGTTGCGATGGGCAAAAGCAAAGCACCCAAAGCAAAGATGACTTTGAATCTTGCAACCCTCTAGAAAAGTTCGGCTGGTCTAGTCCCAGGTTTGTGGGGCTGCCCATGGATGCTGCAAGATGCCTTTTGAATATAAGAATAAACTTCTGTCTCCTGCAGAGATCTGAAATAGGAAGTGCTAAATGCTTTACCAGGGGAGTTGGACTAGATGATCTCTATGATCCCTTCCAACTCTAAAAATTCAGTGAAATTCAGTGAACTGTGACCCATCTCTCTCCCACTCTGATCCCACCTTGGTCCAGAAGCACTTTACAGCAGAGCCTTTTGTCTCTGGGTACAGGTGGTGCTGTCTCTGTGCCTGCCTGTAATTATCACTCGTGTTTGTTCGTGGGGAAGAGACTGCTGTGATACCCTAACGTGTCATTACTTGTTCCAGATGTGGATGTCATTTCAAGGTTTGCACAGCTAGAGTTCCGTTTTGGGGACCCAGAACATGCCAAGGCCCTCTTCGAGAGCACCCTCAGCAGCTATCCCAAGCGGACAGACATCTGGTCCATCTACATGGACATCATGATCAAACAGGGCAGCCAGAAGGAAGTGCGGTGAGTTGTGCTACAGGGGGCTGGGAAGGGGCAGAGTACAGTGCTTGGAGCAACACCTGAAAAGAGCAGAGGTACCCTGCAGTATGAGGTTTTATAGGGCTTCCCAGAGCAGAGCAAAAGAGAGAAAACTGGGGTGTATGGAAGTGCCTGTCCTTGCCAGGATGGAGGAGACTCCAAGGAGATCCATAGGGCAGAGGGGGAGACTGGTTTGTAATTAGTAGCCTGCATGACAGAAAGTAGAGGACTTGCACTGAAGTTCGTCTGTCCCTCTGGAGGGATTGCCTTGTTGGATCTGAAGGGTGAGATCAAGTCCTTGCATATCTTAAAAAAGTTTCTCCCATTCCATGTTTTTTCTTTTTGGAGAGTTGACAAAAAGAAGTCCAGCTTCCCACAGTATGGATCCAGATGCATCTACTTAATGAACGCAGGGTCAAATCCAGTGGCTGGATCTTGGCTTAAGTTGACCAGCAGCCCTAGAGTTCTGGAGGCAAAATAGGATGCTTCTACTTCGAGGTTTTGGCCAGTTGTCAGGAGCCTCTTTCTTCAAGCACCAGCACTTCACAGCAGGTTGAATGTCTGCCTTGAGTTTCTGCTCTTTCTTCAAAGGCAGGATACGGGGCTTGTATAAGTGCTGTCACCAACACAGCGATCTGAATCGCTTTGGTTTCTTGCAGGGACATCTTCGAGAGGGTCATACACCTGAGCTTGGCACCAAAGAAGATGAAATTCTTCTTTAAACGCTACCTGGATTATGAGAAGAAATTTGGCACATCAGAAAGTGTCCTGGCTGTTAAAAGAGCTGCACTTGAGTATGTGGAGACCAAGAGTTCCCTTGCAGACACCTAAGAACGGTGCAAGTAAAAGTAGAGAGACTCAACTCTCCCTGCAGTGTGGGACCTGAGAGGTTCTGCCCTGAGCGGCCATGGACAGTGAGTTTCTGGAGAGTACTGGTCTGTGACCAAAGCAAACTGGAAAGAGCAAACAATGAAAGGAAAAAAAAAAAATTATAAATGTTTGCAACTTTGTTCCAGGTGTTACAAATAATCCTAGTCTGTCGATGACTTTGAAGACATGTTTTTTAAATATAGACTGTTTTATAATTAATACGAACATCAGCCATACCTGTTCTACTTTCCTGGGGAAATGGTGCAGTTATGACCCGCTATTTTTAAGCACAGTGATGTCTTGTAAATTGATTTCTCTGTCAAGATGGCAGAGGAAGGTTCTTGTCTTTCGGCTGAACTAACACTTTGAAGATTTCTCTCAAGTGCCTTTGTACTCCTAGAAATTGGCAGAGCAACACAGAATTGTGGCATATTTGAGGTTGGAAGGGACCTCTGGAGATCATCTGGTTCAAATCCCAGCTCAAAGCAGGGGTTAGCTAGACTAGGTTACTTGGGACCATGTCCCGTTTGGTTTTGATTTCTCCAAGGATGGAGACTCTACAACCTCTCTGGGCAACCAGTGTTTGACCATGTTCACAGTAAAAAAAGTGTTTTCTCATATTTAAATGGGATTTCTTGTATTTCAATCTGTACCCATTTCCTCTTATCCTATCACTGAGCACCACTAAGAAGAGTCTGGTTCCATTTCTTTTACATTTTTGTGTCAGGTATTTATACATGTGGATAAGATCCACCTTGAGCCTTCTCCTCAGGCCGAGCAGTCGCAGTTTTCTCAGCCTCTCCTTGTGTGATGGATACTCCAGTTCCATAATCATTGTCCTGTTCCTCTGCTGGACTTGATCCAGTAAGCCTGTATCTCTCCTGTACTGGGGAGCCCAGTACTTGATACATCACCACAGATGTCTCACCACTGCAGAGCAGAGAAGGGTGACCTCCCTCGACCTGCTGGTAACGCTCTTCCTAATGCAGCCCAGAGTCCTCTTTAGCTGAAAGGGCACATGCCTTTAAAGCCAACAGCATCCAGTTGTGATGAATCTCCTGATTGCAACCCTCTGTCATAACAAGGATCGATAACAGAAAAAACAGTGATTTTCAGTAGTTGTTGTCTCTTAAGAGCAATCAGTGAAGTCAAAGAAAAAAACCTGTTTTTTTCTGTGCTGAAAAAAATGTCATCCCAATCTAACCTTCTACTTGGAGAAAGCTTAGGTATTTTCGTTGGCTCTGTCACTGGTGTTGGTGCCTTACGACCAATGCTCCAGCAAGATGTGGATGTGGTCATCCATGTGTTTCACAGATGAAGAACTGAAGGCAGGGGGGGGAAAAGCAGAGGATGCAAACAGGTGTGATCATTCGGTGTAGACACTACCGAGCGGTTGTCCAGCTTTGAAATACCAAACTTGAAGAGTCTTACTCATCGTAGGTATTCTGAACTCATAAACAGGGCTGTGCAGGACGCTGATCTCCTGCCTCAATGAATGCCCCATGTTGGCAAGGCTGAATGATTCAGCATTTAATTCATTCCCAAGTCCCTTGGGATCTAGAAACAAGTCATTTCACTTCTTGCCCGCCCCCTCCAGGGAGAGCAGGGTCCTGTTAATGTTCTTCTACAGGAAGAGGCTGCGTGAAATATCCTGTAGCAGCTGTTGTTTTTCTTTAAGAACAGAGCTGCAAAGATGGTGGCTGCTTCTTCTGGATTAATTAGTTACATAATAGAATACGTAAATAAGCGTTGCAGTAGAAACCGAGATCCCTTTGAGGTATTGTTTCTTCTTGACTACTGGGGCTATTATAATCTCTACAGTAGTCAGCAGGGAAAATGAAAGACCTGTGTGTAATTCTCCATACTGGAGGAGCCTGGTTTGAACCCATCTTGCTGCTGGGAAGTGTGCCCTAACACAACCTGTAGGCTGCTCTGCCATGGGGTTGTTTTCGGCTTCTGGAGGAAAAGCAGAGTGTGAGCTGGCAGCTGGCATGATCCGGCACGCCTGGAAGACAAGTAGCTCCATTTCCCTCCTGGCATTTATTTGGGTGAGAAGCCCAGCCTGGTTGCTTGTGCTGGTGTGTAAGGCCACGTTGGTTAAAGACCCTCAGCTCAGCGTGGTCACTGGGGGAGGATGAGTGACAAGGACCACAGGGATGTTCATGAGGGTGCTGATGGGGCCGGAAGGGCCAGAAGCCCAGGGATGTCTCAGTGAGGAGAGGAGGAAAAAATCCCTACAATTGCAAACAAGTATTTCTGAGCGTGGTGGCTCACTCCACTCCTGTCAGCTGGTCGCTCAAACGCACCTCTCCAGCAAGAGGGAGGAAAACCAGACAAGCTGGACAAGCCCCCACCCCATCCCAGCACGTGGAAACTGGCTGGAGTTAATGGAGAAGGGAGGTAAACAGAACAAAAGCTGTTTTTGTGCTCATGGCTTACTCCTGGGATAAACAAATCCATTCCCAAGCGTTACGTGTCTTGCCCATTTCCTTCAAAGGAGGGAAGGGGAGGAGAAGGAATGGGAGTGGAGGTGGTTCAAAGGAACAACCAGGACTATCAAGGAGGAAGGGAAGGGAAGTAAAGGAAGTAAGAGGAGCCCTGCTTTGTTTCAGAGAGTTGCCCTGCATCTGCTGAGCTGCATGCGGGGGTGGTGTGCGTGTCTGCGTGTTCGCACTCGAGGGCCCAGGAGAAGAAATGCAAATGGCCTCTCTTTCATCTCAAGTTAATGCAATTTCATTTCACTTGCATCTGATCGTTCCTGCAGATTAGTTGCCGGTGAGGCTGGGAGCCAAGCCTTCCCACAAATGCAAGGCAAATTCTGTAGGGAAGCTGAAGAGGGATCCTGGGATGCCTCGCACCTTGAGCCGTGTTCCAGCCTCTTCGTGTGCGGGAACACCCTCCGGCTCTTTCTTGCAAGAAGGGGACATCCTTGTAAAAAGGTTTCTAAATGCATTTTATCTCCTTTGCTACACTTGTGTATCCTGATGTACAAGATTTGTGCTACTTCCTGCAAAAATAACTAAAAAGCAGCGTTACTGCCTTGTAATATGTGGTAATCCTTTAAAAGTTCAACTTCTGGGGTCATCTGGGTAGGAGAGGATCTGAATGTTTAAAAGAAAGGAAAAACAGTTCCCAGCCCTTGAGTTCAAAGAGAATGTTAAATAATGCCTTTTGTGCCCCCTTGAAAAAAAAAAACTCATAAGGCAATGAAAAATAACTCTCATTTAATAATTTATTTCAAAACTCCTTGTGCGTAAGCCCCTCTGAGTTTGGTGGGTTCGAGTCTTTTTTTGAACAATTTAAGGCTTTTTGGTAAACAGCATGGTGTAAGAGGCAGTTGTACCTATAAAGAAACAGTACAAGTAGGAAAACCAAACGTCATTGTCCTGCCAACTCTTGAAACGGTGTTGGGGGCTTTCTCCTGGCTGACCCCCAGGAGAAAAGGGTCGAGAAGAGCAGCCCTGAAGCACAGTGTCACGGTGAGGGCAGTGATTTTACACCTTTCTGGCTTTGCTTTCTCAGAGTATGGCTGAGTCCATAAAGGGGACCTTCTGCTGTAGGGACCATTTAAGGCAGTGGAAAGAGTTTAAGAAAATTTGCTGGTAGAAGAGTAGAGAGGGGCTGCTCCCCTACATCCCTTTCCTACTGTCCCCCGTCACTCTAGGGCTGCAGTCCCAGTGGGGGGTATGAAATGTGGTCTTTTGGCTGGCAACTTTCTCGTCCCTTTCCCATCCCTTGGGGGATAGCTCCATTAATGCAGCTAACTAACTAGGATTATATAGTATATACACTCTCTCTGTGTATGTATACAAATATGTAAAACTAGTTTGGTTGAGGTCTTGCCACAACTCGCAACCCAAACAAGCAGGACTCTGGTCCGATGGTTGGGTGAGAAATGCAATGAACTGCAGAGGGTGGCGTGGCTCCACCGAGCCACCTCGCCCAAAAGCTATTCTGCTGATGGTGCCATCTTCTGGGTTTGTAAACTCATGGTTGCGACCGTTTGGGCTCATTAGAGGTCATCAGGCACTTCAGTAAGAACAAAGGGAGTTTGGGGTCCTACCCAAATTCCAACTTGGTGATTGGAGCGTCTTTGGAATATTGGTGATTCCTCCTGCCTTAGTCTCTCAGTTACTCGCTGTGTCGTGGTATTATTGACCCATTCCTTCCCAGTTGCTATTGCATCCCCCTTGCCTTAGGAATTTACCCACTGCTTCCCTCTTTTCCCTGCCCTGTAAAATCCATAAAGTGCTCTGGGACCTGCCTGCTTAACAGGCACCGCACAACTCCGTGAGAAGATACCAAGGTCAATAAAACAAGCAGGCTTGGGGGATGGCTGGGGCTAACCCTGCCGTGTGGGAGACGAGTGGGACCACAGGAACCACGGTTAGAAATGCCCCAACCTCTTGCTCCCCAAGGCTTTTGCTGGTGCAGTAGATGGCAGGGTGCACTGGCAGCCTGGAGGTAAGGTGTGTATCTGCTCTTTGCTCCTCTTGCTTCTCTAGGAGCAGCGAGGAGACGGTTGTCTCCATGGGAGGGGTTCCCCAGCTCAGTGTATTGCTTATCTGTCTCTACCTTGAGGCTGTTCCATCCCTATTTACCCGCTGAGAAGCAGTAATCCTGCTGGGAGGAATATTCCCAGTGAATCCCTCAGCCGTGCACCAATACTGGTAGACCTGCCAGGCAGTCTGGGGAGCTGCTGCCGGCACCCATCTGTCCTAGGAAGCCAAAAAGAGCATTTCGTGGCCTTCTGGGCTTGGCCCGTTGCCTTCCACCCCTTTGGCCCATTTGTGGAGCCGGCTGTAGAGGGGGAAGCCCTTGTTCTCCCGGTAGATGTAGACGCCTGTGATGGCATTCCACTGGGGGCTCGGCTGGACACCGTCCACTGGGAACTCCTGCACCATCTCCTTCTCCTCCTTGTCCAGCGCCACGAAACCAAAGAATTGCTTCACGTTCTTGGCTGCCAGGATCCGGGAGTGGACCTCGGCCGTGCGTCGGAAGAGCTTGGCCTCGTTGGAGCGGTACTGGGCCCAGTAAGCCTCCTGCCGGTAGCTCAACGGCGAGCAGCAGTGCTTCAGGCACTTGGTGAGGAAAACTAGGACCGCCACGATGCCGATGAGCAGCCAGCCGAAGAGCTGGGAGAGAAGAGAAGAGGCTGCGTTAGGACACGGCAAGGTGGCCTTACCCACTCTGTGTGGCTCTCTCCCCGTTGCGCCTACCTGGGACTCGTATCTCAGCCTCCGCGTCACCTCGTCCCTGAACTTGGTGAGGTTGGCCGGCACGTCTTTACAGGGGAACCTGGCCAGGACATCGGCCCCGTAGTCGGCTGGGAACTTGTCCAGGGATGATGGCTTGACAAACTCGCTGAGGGCGCAGATGTAGGCCTCCCCGCGCAGCAGCGAGATGACCGACCAGGTGACGGGCGCCACGGCCGCCCGGCCCATGATGGAGCCGAAGAGGAGGAAGGTGGCAGCGGCAGAGAAGTTCTTGGTGCCACGCTTGTGGCACTCGGCCACCAGGTTCCAGGTGTGGTTGTTCCAGATGACGCCGATGAGGAAGAGGGCCAGGGCCGGGACTCCGATGGCAGCCAGCCCATAGATGTAGTTGCGGGCAGGGGAGCAGGGGCAGTTGAAGGCAACGACGGAGAAGAGCTCCTCGCTCCCCACTGTGCCCAGGGCCACCAGACCATTGAAGATCATCACATCTTTGCTCTTGAAGAACAAGGAGAGGAAGCGGAAGTTCTCGGCGATGAGGGCGGCCATCTCGTCCCAGGGGCAAGAGGAGGCACGTACTGCAGTGAGAGGCCGTGCTGGCTCACCTCCCAGCACTGGGGGACAACCTGATGGAGAGTGAAATGGCCTTGGGCCGGCTGATGTGCAAAGGGCTGGTCCAGGAGCACAACCCCCTCACTGCTGTCTCTTCCTCCTGCCTGGCGTCCCAGGCTCTGGGGTATCCAGGGATTCAGGCTAAGCAGCGAGGGAAATCTCGGTCATTTCGGTTTCCCACTAGCCCCTCCAAAAGCGTTTGTGCAGGGGAGGTTGCCCACAGGACAGCTCTTCCTGCCCCTGTCGTTTGCACGTCCCTCGCCTTCCCCTTCTCTTTGGTTTGAGTCACCTCCTGCAGACGACGATTACTCTCGGCGTCACTGCTGGACGCTCTGATCTCCCAAACCTGCAAGGAAGGAGGAGGACGCCGCGTTACTGGGGAAACTGGACCGGAGTCCAGTGGTGCTGGGATGCATCCCCAGCCCTGCTGCTGACTCAGGCTAGCCCGGGCACAGGAGGCACGTGCGTGCTGGTGCTGCCCTCCCTTGCGAGGGCTGTGGGTTTCACCTCCCTCTTTTGGACCTATTACTATTTAATAATAGGCAAAGGTACGTCAGGGAGGCAGCGAGAGATGGCCCAGCAGGTTTGGGGGCAGGGAGATGGAGAGGACCAGGTAGGAGCATCCTCCACCGACAGGGGCGAGGGGATGTTCAGGGCCTCGTGCTACCTGCAAGAGAAGTTACTTTCTGGGAAATCAAAGCTTATCTTGATTGACCCAGGATGCAATCACCAAATGCTGGTAGAGCTGGGTCAGCAATTATGTAGGAGTTTTTGCTAGGATTAGGTGTGGCAGGATGAGCTCTGTCTCTCCCACAGCTGGCTGGCATAACGATACTTGCCCTCCTGGCCCACAGTCCTGGCTCAGCCTCTCACCAGCCCTTGACCCGCACACCTCGGTGCTGGGGTGATTTTACACTGACCTTTTCCTCTCTGACTTCCTCCAGCACCTTCTCCCAGTACAACACTGGTTATACTGGGAAGCCCACCCAACCAACAGGGCTGTTGGACTGCAGGTGCTCAGGGGCTGGTATGTGCCCTGATTTTTTTTTTTTGAAGGGCAGGGAAATAATTGGGGAGCGTATCCATGCCCTCTGCAGTGATACCCATTCCCTTATGCCACTTGCAAGCTGCGTTTAAATAATTTCTTAGTTGACTTTCCATCTGTGCTGCGTCCCCGCAGGGTTTCATCTCAGGAAGCCCCCAGCACCTTGCTAGCTCCAGGCACCCTCACCCATGTGATGAAACCCTCTAACCTCAGGGGAACTGCTGTCGCTGGGGTTTGCTGGAGACAGGAAGGACCTGGGCACCCAACTAACCGTCTCCGGCAGCTTACAGCATCGGCACACATCTGGAGCTCCTGGGGAGCCCTCACCCAAAGCAGGGCTGCCCCAAAATTTGCCTCGATGCTGGCATCCTGCCACCCGGGAGGAAGGTTTCCCCGGGCCAGCCCCAACTGCCAGGAAAAGGCTGTATTAATGGAGAGGAGACAAAGGCACCTTAATCCTAATGGTTTCTTATACAAGGCTTACTCATGCACTGTCCTTTAAATCACTCCTGTGCTTTGGTTCATCTGCTGCCCCACCAAATCCTGTTTTATCCTCCTTCTCCTGTCCCCCCTGCAGCAGAGGGGACAGAAAGTTGGCCTCGGTTCCCTGCTCCATCTCACCCTGGGCGATCCGTTTGAAGTCACGCTGTGATATTGCTGAGCTCAAACACAAGCAGCCCTTAATGTCTTCCTGCATCTTCCCAGTTTTCCATATGCAAAACTCCCTCGGCAAAGGGAGCAAACCAGCCAAAAACTGCAGCTACGTGACGGGGAGCCGAGCCCCCAGCTCCGGCTGCCGCGTTTTGTGCTACCCCACGTTTGCAGCCGGACGCTGAACCTGCCAACTTCTTTGAGTGCATTGGGGTTCAGAACCTCGTTATTAGAGTTACCAGCAAACAGCCCGGGTAAACAAGGCCCTGTGACCTCCTCGGCAGCTCCTGGCAACCAGCAAAGCAAAAATAAAGAGGAGTATGGCATTTTTGGGGGGAATTACCCTGCCTCTCCTTGGGGGTTACGGTGCCTTGTCTGGGAGAGAGAGGGGTGGGTAGAAGGGGAGGAGAAGAGTTGTTGGCAGCAGATCATTTTCTAACAGCCTCTGTTAAAGTCTTCCCACGAAACAGGCATGAAAGCAAGGGGAAAAAAAAAATAATAAAAAATGAAGTCACTTACTTCAAAAGCTGTTGAAACCAGTTCTGGGGCCTTCTCAGCTCCTCATGTGGTTTTGCTCAGGCTCCGGCTGATGGGGAAGGGGGGGTTCCTGGCCGTGTGTGGGGCTCTGCAGAAGAGGGGATGCCGCTGAGGCCGGGCTGATGGGCAAAGCGAAAGCTGATGAAAACAGCATTAAGATTTGGCAGCTTCCTTTTTCAGTCTGCAGCGTGCCCTCGGCTGTTGGCTTTTGGGAGGAGGGAGGAGGGTGTTCTCGGGCCCTGTGCTTGGGTGGGGCGAAGAGCAGGCGTTTGGCTTCTGCTGGGTGGAAGGCTGAGGTTGTGCCTTTAAAAAAAAAAAAAGAGGAAAGGAAAGGCTGAGAATGAGTCACTGGAAAAAGCACATCGTCCTTTTTTCAGCCCCGCGATGCAGCTGTGCGAAGTCTGGCGGGATGGCCCAGGGTTTGCCTGGAGGACGGGAGCGATGGAGAGCCTTGCTGGGGTGCACAGGGGGAAATGCTGGAGCCCCCCAGCCCTGGGGGGACGGATGCAGGTGCCGTGGTCCCCAGGGGATGCACTCACGCTGGTGGGATGCAGCTCAACCGAGGGTGGTACCCAAACTGTGCAGGAGCCCAGAGCCACCCTAGGCAGATAGTGGCAGAGTAGGAGAAACCTTTGGTGCTACGTGGAGGAGGAGAAACTGCTGCTTTTGTGCAGAGGAGCCAGCTGAGCCGGCAGGGAAGACGCCAGCCTGGCTGGGTTTTTGGGAGAAGCAGGAACTTGCTGTCATGAGCTCTGCGGGACGGCCAGGTTTTGCTTCCCACCCCCCGGGACCGAGCAGGGGGGCTCTGAGGGGGCTGGGGAAGCCCTGCGTGCGGGGCTGGCCACAGCCCCAGGTCTGGCGAGCGCGGTGCATTCCTGCCCGCCTTGGCTTTTCCGCTCGCTGCTTCCTCTGCGGAGCGATGCCTGCGAGGCAGCCCAGCACGCCTCGCTGTGTCCTTCCCTCCTCTCTGCCATGTGTCCCTCTGCTCCAGCTCCCACCCAGCCCGTTGCAGAGGTTGGAAGCCCCCGTCCTCCTTCCCCAGCCTCCTCGGGGAGGCCCGTGTCCCCGGGCTTAAACTCAGCCCTTCCCACACGGTGTCTTCAGCACAGGCAAATCTTCAGCAACACCCACGTTCCCCTCTGCCCAGAGCAAAGCTAAGCTCAGCCCAACGTCTGCAGTTCAGCCGGGTGTTTTAGACTGAGTCCTCCCCCCAGATTTAGGATCCCTGGGTGGGTTATCCCAGTTTGGGTGCAGTGTATCCCTTAGGGCTCCCACATCTCCATCCCCTCCTGCATGCTTGGCTGGGGACATTGGGGCTCACACTGAGCTGGGTGGGCTTAGCACTGTCACCCTAACCCCACTGAAATCCCAGGGGCCATGTCAGGTCCCCTGGCAAGGTGTCTCCTCTGAAAGGCAATGAATGATATAACAGAATCACAAGATGATATCATCTAGTCCAACCCCCTGCCAAAGCAGGTCCACCCAGAGCAGGTTGCACAAGAACGTGTCCAGGTGGGGTCTGAATGTCTCCAGAGAAGGAGACTCCACCACCTCTCTGGGCAGCCTCTGCCAGGGCTCTGCCACCCTCAAAGTGAAGAAGTTCCTCCTCAAGTTTACATGGAACTTGTTATGTTCCAGTTTATGCCTGTTCCCTCTTGTCCTGTCCCTGGGCACCACTGAAAAAAAGACTGGCCCCATCCTCCTGACACCCAGCCTTGAAGTATTTATAGGTATTGATCAGATCCCACCTCAGCCTTCTCTTCTCCAGACTCAAAAGCCCCAAGTCCCTTAGCCTGTCCTCATCAGAGAGATGTTCCAGGCCCCTCATCATCTCTGTAGCCCTCTGCTGTCCCCTCTCCAGCAGTTCCCTGTCCTTCTGGAACCGGGGAGCCCAGAACTGGTCCCAGTGCTCCAGATGGGGCCTCCCCAGGGCAGAGCAGAGGGGCAGGATGACCTTCCTCCACCTGATTTCTGCTCACACTCTTCCTGATGCCCCCCAGGATGCCATCAGCCTTCTTGGCCACAAGGGCCCATTGCTGGCTCATGGGCATCCTGTATATCCCCAAAATGCAGGAACAGGAGGATCCCCTGCTCTGCAGGGACTCTGCTGAAATTGCTGCATGGGGGCAGAGCTCTGATCCGAAAGAAATCTAAATTAGAAGTGTAAAGGCTTCTCTTTGCAAACTCAGGCTGGTTTTTGGGTATGCTCATGGCTGTGGGGCAGAGCTCGCCAGCCCCACATGCTGCTGCCTTTGTGGGGACTCCGAGCGTGCCTTTCTCGGTGAGCCATTAACAGCGCTGAACTGCAAATAATAGGAGTGGAAACCGCCTTTATCTTTCAGTCTCCTTTGCTTTGTAAATCAGGTTTTGTGCCTATTAATTTCTGGGCAGGTGCCTTAATTAAAGTTCGGGGTGTGAAGATGAACGATAAATCTGTGTCATGCTCCTTTCTCCTGGGAGTCAGCCAGATTCAGCCTGCCCTTGACTACAGGCTTGCTAAGGTGCTCTCACAGCAGCTCGGAGAATTTCCTCGTCGTTTTGGTCCTTTGTTCTCATCTCCCCGCAGCCTCTGTGGAGTTACACACCGATAATTAAGGTTTATGCAAACGACAGTCACCTCAGTTACCAGCCAGCTGTAATAAGTTGGTTTGAACAAGAACGCGGCGGCAGGAATTTCAAGGGGATGAGCATTTCAAAAGGGATGTGACAGGGGCAATGCTCATCGCTCAAGAGGGGGTTTTCCTTCTGTGTGTTGGTAATAAAATCAGGGCCACCGGGGAATGCTCTTCCGGGCTGTGATTTCCATAGTCACCTGGAGAGCCTGCGTCCCCTCATCCTCAGCTTCTGTGGAAATGGGCAGCCACCTGGTATCATGCAGGGTCAGCGGTGCCTCCACGGCTTCTCCTCCGAGGGCCAGGGCCAGCTCGCTGCTGGCCACCACACAGTGGCTAAAACATCCCGATTTGTATGGCCTCAGCACCCCGGGCTCAGCCCCGGAGGCTCCTCCAGTCCTTTTCACTGCATTCAAATAAAGAAACACCAACAGCTTTTGTAAATAGCTTTTATAAATCCCTGTGCCGGAGCACAGAGCTTGAACAGGAAGCTTGAATTATTTATTTGGCTCCCTAAACAAACACCCAGGCAGGTTTTTAATATCGGGCTTTGTGTCAGGGAGGAATCCAGGTAAAATTGCTAAACCAAGCTGTCCTGCGGCAAATTCGTGGCAGGGGGGGTTGTCTTTGCCCCCAACCCTCAGTGCTGCTGAGCGATAGCTGCTCTCCCTGCCGAGGTGTTTCCTTCAAGGAGCATCCCTCTGGGCTCCTCGTTGAATAGTACCCGTGACACCAACCATGGCAATGCAACAGGGGTTCTCCCTTCACTAGGGAATTTGGGTCACATTTATTTTAAAGCTGTTCTTGGCCTGGAAGCTGTGTTTGTCTGTGGGGAGGTAGTGTGTGGAGGGGGGCAATGGGGAGGCTTTTGGGGTTTCACAGCTTGGCATGAGGAAGGGGCTTGTTTCCCCATCAGGGCATTTTTAATACTGCCTAAACGCCCCCCAGTGCTGGTGGGTGCTGAGCACGGGGTAAAAGGAAGGAAGTTTTGCAGATGTGGTGGTGTCTGCCTTGGTGACCCCCACAGCACTGACCTGGTGCTTGGTGGTGTGGGACACATGGCATGTCTGTCCAACTGCCACATTGTGCCCTTCAACATCCCCGCGGCTCGTCCATCACAGAATCACACATAGAATCACAGAATGATATGGGGTTGGAAAGGACCTCTGGAGATCATCTAGTCCAACCTCCTGCCAAAGCAGGGCCACCCAGAGCAGGTTGCACAGGAATGTGCCCAGGGGGGGTTTGAATGTCTCCAGAGAAGGAGCCTCCACCCCCTCCCTGGGCAGCCTCTGCCAGGGCTCTGCCACCCTCACAGGAAAGAAGTTCCTCCTTGTGTTTAGATGGAACTTTTTATATTCAAGTTTGTGCCCATTTCCTCTTGTCCTGTCCCTGGGCACCACTGGAAAAAGACTGGCCCCATCCTCCTGACACCCACCCTTGAAGTATTTATAGGTGTTGATCAGATCCCCCCTCAGCCTTCTCTTCTCCAGACTCAAAAGACCCAAATCCCTCAGCCTTTTCCTCATCAGAGAGATGCTCCAGGCCCCTCATCACAACCTCAAGCAGCCATCCTGCTCGGTACAAAGCTCATTGCCTGAATTACCGATGCTGTGGGATTGGGTGTGGGAGCAGGTGGGTCTGTGCCAGCACCCTGAGCCCTTTGGATGCCCGTCCTCCCGCAGCCCCCGTGGTGCTGGCCCTCACCTCTCCTGGCTCGGATGCCCACCTGCCTGCCCTCCCCGCCGCCCCTCTCCCAAAAACACGGCTCTGCCTCCGTGTCCCCCTCACACCCCGCTGTAGTAGGCAGCCACCTCCCTTCGGGGTGTGGGGGGATGCACGGGGGGCTGCTTTTCCCCTGCCCAGCCATTGCTGCTGGGGAGGGCAGGCAAGTGGAGGTGCAGGGGGGGCTTGCATCTGTGCCAGCTCTTCAGAGCCGCGTTCATAGTGCCCTGGTCGGTGATGCCCAGGAGTTTCTCTGTGGCTTCCTCCGTGTCCACAGGGGTTTTCCTGGGCAGGTGGCAGCGAGCGGCCACCAGGTCCGTGCTCATGCCCTCGAAGAACTGCTGGATGCAGACCTTGGCAAAGCTCTTGGCGTGCTCAGTACATGTCTCATCGAAGAGCTTGCGCTCGATGTCGATGTAGTGGGACCAGTACCTGCTCTTCAGGAAGGCGGCTTGGGTGAAGCAAGGCCGGAGGGATCTGACCAAGAAAGCCAGCGTGGTCATCAGCAGCACAAAGCACCAGCCCAGAGCCTGCAGGGACGAGGGGGGAACCAGACCCGTCACAGACGGGCAGAGCAGACACCCAGCACTTCCCACCAGCTGGCAGGAGCCCCTCCAGGCTGCAAACGAGCCTGGCTCCACTTTGGGCTGGTTGACATTCACAGAATCACGGAATCACAGATTTGACAGAGTTGGAAGGGACCTCTAGAGATCATCTGGTCCAACTGTCCCGCTAAAGCAGGGTTGCCCAGAGCACATCACTCAGGAACATCCAGACGGGGCTTGAAGATCTCCAGAGAAGGGGACTCCACACCCTCCCTGGGCAGCCTCTGCCAGGGCTCTGCCACCCTCACCCCAAAGAAGGTTTTTCTCATATTTGAATGGAACTTCCCATGTTCCAGCTTGAGCCCGTTGCCCCTCGTCCTGTCCCTGGGAACCACTGAAAAGAGTCCGGCTCCAACATCCTTCAACTCACCCTTTAGATACTTATAAATAAGGTCTCCCCTCAGTCTTCGCTTGTCCAGGCTAAAGAGTCCCAGCTCCTTGAGCCTTTCCTCATCAGGGAGATGCTCCAATCCCAATCCAATTCGGCTGCATTTAGATTGCAAAGCTGGGTGAGAAGACCCCGTGTACCACGTCAGTGCCCCTGTGCTGAAACTCTGCTCGACGCACCCACACAGGCAGCGCTGTAGGTCAAGGGAAGTCATTCTCCCCCTCTGCTCTGCACTGGTGAGGCCACAACTGGAATCCTGCGTCCAGTGCTGGGCTCCCCAGTTCAAGAGGGACAGGGAACTACTGGAGAGAGTCCAGCGTAGGGCAACAGAGAGGATGGAGGGGTTGGAGCATCTCCCTGATGAGGAAAGGCTGAGAGAGCTGGGGCTCTTCAGCCTGGAGAAGAGAAGGCTGAGGGGAGACCTTCTTCATGCTGACAAGTCTCCAAAGGGTGGGTTGAAGAGGATGGAGCCGGACTCTTTCCAGTGGTTCCCAGTGACAGGACAAGGGGCAACAGGCACAAGCTGGACCATGGGAAGTTCCACTGCAATGGGAGGAAGAACTTGTTTGGGGTGAGGGTGGCAGAGCCCTGGCAGAGGCTGCCCAGGGAGGGTGTGGAGTCCCCTTCTCTGGAGATCTTCAAGCCCCGCCTGGATGCTCCTGAGTAACATGCTCTAGCTCTAGGCAATCCTGCTTTAGCAGGGGAGTTGGACTAGATGATCTCTATGGTCCCTTCCAACTCTAAAAAATTCAGTGAAATTCAGTGAAATTCTCTCCCCTCCTCCCCGCATACGGCACCAGCGGGCAGTGACCGTGACTAACACCAGGCTGAACCCTGCACCCAGCCCTCGGTCCTGCCTCCGGTACGGCCGTGCCTCGCCTGGGTTTAGGGCAGCCTCTGTCCTCTGACCCGCAGCCAGCCTTATTCCACGTTCTCCCCGGGGTTTAACGCGGCTGCGTAACCCATTTCCCGAGCTGTTGGGCTTAGTAACGTCTCCCGTGGGCGAGCAGCGGTGACGGGCTGCCCTGTTAATGGGGTCTGACAGGAAGGGTGAGACGAGGGCAGAGCCGGGACCGGTCTGGCTTGTTCCCCGTGGGCCTCGGCTCGGGCTGCCACCGGGCTGCGCAGGCAGAGCTCACAAGGGTGAACCCCACTGTAAATGCAGCCCCCCAAAAAAGCACCTGGGAGGTGTGTATCGAGGTGACACTTCTTGTTGTGCAGCTTCCAGTGCTTCCCAGCAGCCGGGAACTGGGGTCTACACAAAGCCTGCTTTGTGTCTTTGCAGAAGTCCCTGTGCCTCCATTTCTCTTAAACTGGGGACGGTAATTCCCATCTGCCCTAAGGGGGTGAGGGAGAGGAGCTGCTTTTAGACAGGAGTGTGTGAGTGACCACAGAGTGGATCAGACCATCCCGCCTCCAGCGTGGCCAGAAGCAGAGGAACTAAGCACGGGACAAGGAGTTAGTGGTGCTTCTTCATTTGTGGTTCCCTGGGATGGTTAATAAACACCCGCTGGCTGTTTCCATGCAAGTGCCAGGGGCAAATGGCACAGATGATTATCAGCCCGTTGCTTGCACGCGTTATAATGAGCAGCAAGAGCAACCACGGGCAACCAGTGGGTTACAGGAGGGGGAGACAGCCCACCAGCCAGGCAGTAACACCCATGTCAGCCCCTTCTGGACTTCTAAATGCATCTCTGCATACAGCTTGGCCATGAATCGCTGCCCAAGGGAGCAGCAAGGAGGGGAACCAAATTATCAGGACGACCTACAGCTTCAGTCTCTGCACCACGTTGGAGGTGTAACTCTCTGCAGCTGAGTCTGAACACCTTGTTCCCCTACAAAATCACCAGGGGTGATTGATTAATTTCAATTACCTGCAGCTTGATTTCAACAAGGAGCTTCCCCTGAGGGAAGAGCTAAGGCTGGCAGTGCCTTACCCCAAGCCACCAGCAAGACCATGAGGGCTCTTACCTGCGAGATGCAGCGCAAGTACCTGACGGCCACCTCGTTGGCGATGAACTCCTGTCCATCGTAGATCTCTTTGCAGGGGATGCGAGCGAGGACCCTCTTCATCTCCCCTCGAGAGAGGCCGGTGTGGCTGGCGTTGCCCAGGGTCTCCACAGGCAGGGAGGTGCAGAAGGCACAGGTGATGCACTTGCCATCCAGCAGCGTCACCGAGACCCAGACCACGGGGGCGATCATGGCCCTCTGTGCCATGGAGCAGAACATGTAGCGCAGGACAGCCGGGTCCTTCCCTCGCTGGCCCCGGGGTCGCCTCCACTCCTCCGCCAGCATGGAGATGTTGTTGTTCAGCACAAAGCCCAGCAGGAACAAGATGAAGGGGGGCACCAGGAGGATGCCCAGCCCATAGGCCAGGTTGTAGTGTGGAAGGCAGGGGCAGTTGAAATCAAAAGCCGAGTACATCTGGGCACTGGCGAGGGCCATTATCCCACAGATGCCGTTCATGAAGGACTCCTGGTTGGACTGGAGAAACTGGAAGATCATCCGAAACTTGTCCATTTTCCCTTGATGTGATTCCTCCCCGCACCGGGGTCCAAGCTGTGGCCTCTGTTTACTTCATTCTTTCAGCCCTCCTTTTCAAAGATGGGCATCAAGAACTCTTTGCACAGTTCACCGATTCATTTACACATTCTTACAGCCCCAATATTTAAAGCAGAAAATCAAAACCTTTTTTTTTTGTGTGCTGATTTTGCTGCTTGCAAAAGTTCAGAGCTTGTTTCCTCCTGCTCTTCTTCGGGTCTGAGGGACCCGGGTTGTTTCTGGTTTGCTAAACCTGCCTTCCTTCTTCTCCAGGTCCCCATTTCTGCCGCCTCCTGGTCACGGTTCCCCTTGGCTGGGGGGTGTGGGTGTTCCCATGGCTGTGCCCTCCCCGGAGCAATCTGTGCCCTGGGCAGAAAGGGGAGTTGGCTGGTCCACCTCTGTGAAATTATTTGCAAATGCAGGAGGTGGGTGCTCCTCCCAGGATGGAATGGGACGCCCCACCTCTGCGGTGCTGGCACACAGGGAAAAGTGGGGAGGCCAGAGCTTTCCCCCTCCCTTTGCTTTTGCATCACCCCCAGCAGGATCTAATGTAAATCCCTCATGGATCTGCCAGCCCCCTGTCCTGTACCTGCCTCTGCTTCACTGGGAAACTCTCTGTTTTATTCTGCAGGGGGAAGGGAAGAGAAAAGGAAAGGCAGAAGAAGGAGGGATAAAGCTCTTGGTGCTCTGGGATCTTGTACTACTGGATCTTGTACCGCTATCCTGCAAACGTCCTCCTTTCAGCCAGACTTACAAGATGAGAGTCGTAGGTTTTCATAGCCCTCTGCCCTCCGGGTTTGCTAAAATACCCTTCAAACCCTGGCTCACAGGGCCCGGTGACATCCAGAGGCACATGGTGCTTTTCCTGGCTTTAGGTCTGGATGGAGCACAACAGGCAGAGGAAGGAGAGAGGGCTTCAGGGACAGGAGCACAGAGGATGCACCCTGCTCTGCAGATGGGTCTTGCTGAGAGCATCCAAGTCCTGGGTGCCCCTGCTTTCTCAGGAAGTGCTCCCTGCCCAGCAGAGCTCTGAGATTCAGGTTTTGCCCTGAAATTTCTTCTTTTTCACCCACTTTTAACAAGCATTTCTGACGGGCTTTGGTGCACTTTGCTCTGAATGGCAGCTGTTCCTGGGTGACAGAGGCTGAATTATTTTCTTGCAGCTGCATTTTACAGAATCACAGACTCTTCTAGGTTGGAAGGGACCTTAAAGATCATCTTGTCCAACCGTCAACCTAATTTTGACAAAAATAAACACCCATGTGGGTATATATTTTGTGGGTATAATCTCAGCCCCTTGATAAATTTGGGATGTGCAGGAGCTGGGAAGCATGTGTAGATCCTGCCAGTGACCTCCCTGGCCTAAAGGCAGCCACTATCCCCTGAGGGACCGTGTTTCCCAGAGGTACCAGACCGCCTGCAGGCACGGGCTGTGCAGAACCCTTCCTGCCCATCAGGCCAGCAGGTACCAGCAGCCCCGGGGGCTGAGGGTTCAGTGGAGCTGCCACTCCTCTGAAGATCACTCCAATCCTGCCAGCAAGGGAAGAGCAAGGACTACCTGTGCCAGCAACGTGCATCCATTTAGCAGGAGAGGCTGGGTCTGGGATTTGGCCATTTGCCTTGACCTGAGGCGAAGGTACCTAAGGGCACGTTTCCCAGGCATAGTTGTGGCGGGGTGCTCTCCCTGTTTCTCCCCCTCTTCTTCCCCTCCCTCCCCCCAGCTCCTGCTCAGGCCATGGCCACCGTGGCCATCACATCATCAGTTGCAATAACTTGCACTTGGACTTTGAGGGATGGCTGGCAATATAGTCAAAACACGGTCTGGAGTGGGGACCTAGATATTTTGTTCCCATGAGAATATGACTATAGGTCAATTATCTTACTGTATAAATAGTGGACAGCCCCAGAGCCCTTGGAGCTCTCCTGGATGGCAGTGGCTGCAGGCCAGGATCTCCCCTTTTGTGAGGACACTCGCTTAAGGTTCTTCTCCTTGAGGCTGAGAGACTCCTTGCTGCAACAGATTCTCGGTAAGTGACTAATAGCACGCTAAACTTTGAAATCTTGGATTGTGTTGTTGGTGCTTTCCTGCATCTACATTCCCAGTTCACAAAGCAGCTTTGTCACACCAGGATGCTCCCTCAAGCGAGCCAAAAGGTGGGGGAATACCAGGACAAGTGGCCATAAAACAGCTCGGTGCAGTATTGACTACCTGCAAGGCATTCAGCCCCTCCGGTCCAGGCACTGCTTGTGCTGATGATGTGGGTTTCAAGATCCATCTGACTGGGCACCAGCGTGGCTGCAGTGGTGGCTGTGAGACACGTCACCAAGGCAAGCTGTACATAGGTGGGTGCCATGGGAAAGGTGCTTCTCCCCAAGGCTTTGCAACGCGTCGGTACGGAGGTAGGAAGCCAAACCAGGTGTTTTGACCGTTAGTCAGTGCTGTGGTTTCTGACGTCTCCCCCCACACCAGCCCTGGAGCTCAGTTGATAGTGTCAAATTCACCCTGAGATGCCACCACAGAGGTGAGCACAAAGCAGGTGGGTAATACCTGGGCAGGCTTAGCTCTGCCTGCTGTGGAGAGGTTAATTGCATGATCTCATCAAACGGGAAGAGATTTGGCTGCATGAATATAGATGAGGCTTACTGTATTGCTAGCTAAGAGCTCAGGCTGGCTTCCCTGGTCACCTGGCAAGTGGCTTTTTGAAGGGCAGTTGACATCAAAGCCTGCATGAATCAACCCTGTAAAAAGCAGGGAGCTTTTTGATCTCTGGGAAACCTCTGCCTTTCATTAAACGGGAATGAGGGGTCTGAGCTTGCTTGGTGTACAGCACCAGCAGTGCTCATTAAGGCCAACAATAAGTCAGTGGGATTCAAAAGAGAGCCCATAGAAGCCAACGCCTGGGTCTTTCTTTCCGTGTTGCCTTGTTAGGGAGGGCCTTGTTTTGGTGACACTGCCAGCAGAAAGCTCACACCAACTGGTTTGCAAGAGAAGGCAGAGTGAGTGATTACTCCCAGAATCTTGCCTGCTCCTGCTTTGGAAACCAGCTTCTGGGAGAGATGGTACATGGCCAAGTCCCTCCCAATGTGTGGTCTTGCACCTGGATGCCAAGACAAAGACACCAAACGAAGGAGCTGGTTGGGCTTTGCATGTGCCAGTCAATGTAGGGTATAGAGAGGAGGGGCAGGAAAATGGTCACAATTCCCACCAGGAGAGTTTGGAAAGAGACTGGAGAAGTTGCCTTTGCTGTCAGCCCTTCTGTTTCATGGGTTCTTGGCAGGTGATGACCCCTAAACATGTCAGACATGTCTGTAGGTCAGACATCAGACCAGCCCTGGGAAGCAAAGTGCTCTGAAGGTTGTGAATCACTGCTCCCACTCCCACAGGAGGGTGCACACTCCTAGCAGGGCTGGTGGGAAGGAACCTCTGGAAATTGTCTGGTCCTCCCTTCCTGCCCAAAGCATGCTCACGGACACATCTAATGGGGTTGTGAATATTGGTGCCACAATCTCTCTGGGCAGCCTGTTCCATCACCCTCAAAGTAAATATGTCTTTTCTTCTGATTTCATGGAATTTCATGCATTTTGGGTTTTGCCTGTTGCCTCTTGTCACATCATGGGGTGCCAGGTACCATTTATCACTATCTGCCTTCAAAGGGGAACACAGCACAGCACTCAGGGAGGTTGGGAAGGATGAACACCCATGTCCCCATCCAACTGGAGCTGCCCCGTGACTACGGACCCTCCCAGCAGCATGTGAGCCTTTGCAGACGTGCAAAAGATTATGGCAGCGCCCTTAAATCCTCTGGTTTTCCCCTCCTGACACAGATAACAAAGCTCTTCCTCTTTCCCTTATTTGCATTTCGTGTTTGGTGGCCACTCTGGGATGACTTAAAACCTGAGAGCATGGAAAGCAGCATGCAAAGGGGAGCAGCAGACCTCTGCTCTGAGCTGGTTAGGAAAATAGCCGATTTGACTAGTGTGGAGTGGTGAGTCCGAACCGAGTCTCTGCCTGAGATTTGAAGACAGGCTGAGGGAGCTGGGGTTGTTCAGCCTGGAGAAGAGAAGGCTCTGGGGAGACCTTATAGCAGCCTTTCAATACCTGAAGTGTGCCTATAGAAGAGCTGGAGAAGGATCTTTGCCAGGAAGTGTAGTGATAGGACAAGGGGAAACAGTTTTAAATTGGAAGAAAAAAGATTCAGATTAGATCTCAGGAAGAAATTTTTTACTATGAGGGTGATGAGACCCTGGAACAGGTTGCCCAGAGAAGCTGTGGCTGCCCCATCCCTGGAGGGGTTCAAGGCCAGGCTGGATGGGGCTTGGAGCAACCTGGTCTGGTGGGAGGTGTCCCTGCCCAGGGCAGGGGGGTTGGAACCAGATGATCTTTGAGGTCCCTTCCAACCCTGACCATTCTGTGATTCTATGATTCTATAATTCTATGATTCTATGATTTGTGATGTCATGTCTGATAAAAATAAACCAGAGCTGAAATCCCAAGTGCAATGCTGGTTTCAAAGGAGAGCTCAGAAGCTCTCCAGACCTAAATAGCTCCTGATTATTCCCAACCACCATGGGCCACAGCTGGCTTTGTGCCCTCTCTGTGCACATCCAAGGGAGCTCAGGGATGCAGCCACAGCTAATTTTGTTATGCAAATAAGCTCTGCAGCCCATCCCTCTGCACCCTGCAGCTCCCGTCCTGCCTGGCAGAGGGGTGCAGCTGCCCACAGGTGGGACATGGAGTTATTTGGCCTCCCTGTGTTTTTCCAAGCATCTCCTCCCTCCCTGACCCAGTACACCCAAACATCCCAGAGAGGAGGTGACCCACCTCCCAGCAGCTCAACAAGTTAATTTGGGGGATTAATATATGTTTTCAATTTGACCTCTCATTTTGGATTTAGTCACAAGGTGGTGGCAGGTTTCTTTGCCCATTTCCCACCCTCTTCTTTCCTCCTGGAGACCCTGTTTGCCCCATCTGTCCATGC